AAAGTACTACTGACAATTGTATAAATTCCTTCATTCTCCACATGTCTCATATTCATACTTAACAATTATTTATTGTAGTAAAGTTAATTGTGTTTAATCAAGATTTTCTCAAAATAATTGAATTAAACATTGAATTAAACTTTGTCTAATTAACTTCCTCTTTATATCATTATGAATATTCAAAGAGCAATACAAATTTCAAATGCTAATCATCATTTCATGAATTAATAAATCCCCAATTTAGGACCCGAAATTCTCGAAGCTACAGATGAGATGTTGAGCAGAAGATGAGATATTGCGAAAAAAAAAACAATAGAATTTAAAGTTAAGTGGATCTTAAGAAATTTTAAGTATTCTATGCCTCATGTATAGGTTTTCAGTAAGTTGACAAATTCAATAAAAGTCTTAGTCCTCGAAAAAATGACAAATAGCAAGTATCACTAAGTATTACTTCTAGGAAAGAAACAAATTCTTTGATTCATTATTGATTATTTCATGATTAATGACTAGGAGTAATTACTGAGAATGAATAATTTTAAGCAGTTGTAATAGAGGGAAGAGAATGACAGGATAAAATGAATTTGAAATTAATTTATTTGCAAACAATTTGTCTGCTTGGAAAGAAAAACGATACATAACTTGGCTTATATTTGAGTGAGGAAAGAAAATATACTAAACTAATCTTAAGTTTTTGAATTGTCTATCAAAAAAAAAAAAACAATGTGATTAGCTACTTTTCACTAATTAGATTTAAAAAATCTTAGCGGAAAAGTTTCAGATAAACATTTTAAGGATACATGTTATATGATTGTTATTGACCATTCCAATGAAATCTCAGGAAAAAATATCTGAAAGGATAAGATAGTTGCAATCGATGGACACAATGGTCAAAATGCTACTGTCCATTTTTACGCAAAAAATAACGCAATGATGAGAAGGTGTGAAAAGAAAAAAAAAAATTTAACAAGTCAAATTAATATTTCTTGTTAATGGAAATGGTCAACATACAATTAGCTATTCAAGCATCATTTTACCGAAAAAAAAAAAAAATCATTGTCCGAAGTGTGGATGTACGAATATCTAAGAATTTATTAGTTATTAAAAAATTAGAATAGTTCTAAATTCATCTATTTTTTCTAGTAGATATGTTTTATTCAAATTTATGAATGTTCCCTCTATCGATTTTCAGTTTCTTTTAATTTTTCTTTTTTTTGTTTTTGACAAAAATAATTTTGCATATATTGAATTTGAAAAAAAAAAAAAACTCCCTCATTCATTGTTTCGTCGTACAATCTTTTGTAGATTATGCAAATTTTCGGAATGCATTCAGGATAAAATTGCCTGCAGATTGTAATGTAACACGACATGTTAGAATTTCTAAACTTAGGTAACTTTAAATCAAATTAGAGAAATATTTTAAAAAAAAAGAAACCGAAAAGCACAAAAAGAAGTTAGTGATGATTTTAAGATGATAAATGAAGAATATTTACCGAAGTATTTTCAAAAGAAGGTCAAACTATCAATCTTCCTACGTCGCAGTCGAAATTCTCGGTACAACACCCTGATTGGGATAAATTTCAAATTGATAATAATGGGTAAATTGATTTCTAGCAGCATTTTGCATCATTTTATTAAAGAAATATGCACCACATTCTTTGTTTATTACAATGTAAAAATTTTCTTTACGGTCACTCTGAGAGGTCAGAAGAACTGAATAGTCATCATCATCCTAATTTACTCGAAATAATACATATTGGAAGAAGATAGATGCTAAGGTGACCATAATTTTTCTTGAAATTTGATTTTGTTTACGGTATTGATTATTTCTAAATATTTCTGAATATTTCATCCATCAAATTTCAATGACAATCGTCCAGAAATGGTATTGTTTTGGGTCAAAGATTATGATGCAATTTCCATCGATGATTTTACCAGGTGAATTAAACATCCTAATGAATGGTATTTGGCCGTTATTATCATCATAATTCCTGGAACATTTGAACATTTTTCACTCTTAATTAAAAACAAAATTTTTTTTTTTGTTTATAATTTGTTCAGTTTTGCAAAAAGTTTACGGAAATTTCTTAAATGCAAAACGTTGCTGAATTGATTTTGAACAATAAATTAATGATAATATCAGCTTTCTTCAGTTTTTTCACAAATTTTGTTCAATTAATGAATCAATCTGCTTTTTATCACGTATCACGTCATTATGTAACACCCATTTCATAATATTCCTTCTTAATTTTAGATTATTCATTAAATAGATTATTCACTTTTTTAGGTTATTCACTTATCAATAGGATTCACTTGAAACTTATTTACTTATCAATCTTTATACTGATTTCGACCGAATCCCGAATTCATCTGTAACTATCCTCATATATATTGATTTCGAACGAATGCATTTTTTAAACGATAGTCTTATAAATTTGAATATTGTAAATGTTAAATTAAAATTAATAAAGAATTAAGCAAAATATCAAGTTTAATTAAGGCAATATTAGAATAAAGTAAAGTGTATTGTCTTTTATGATACAACTGTCGTTAATAGGCGTAATATGATCATAATGCGCCATTTTATTTAATTCATTTTTTTTATTGATTTTTTTATTTATTGAAAATATTTTTTTTTTTGCAACAGATATTATAAAATATTTATTTGATAACAAATGGAAACGATGTGATCGGTTTTGTTAATTTAGCATATTTTAAGCAATTTTTATCAATGCTAATTTATGCAAATTATATCAAAGCAAGTCAATTAATAATTAATTAATGGTTCTGTTTATCTCCCTTACAAAATACAATATTATTTTATAGTCCGAAATGATCAAAAGGATAATTGGAATAACAATTTTATTTGCTAACAGATTAGTCTTTCTTTTTTTTTTGTTTCTTTTTTTTTTTTCTTTTTTAGTAAATTTTATTAATAGATCAGTCCCGATATTTTCCAAGAAAACTTCCCGGGAAATTAATTCATCGATAGCACCTGTTTTGCTTTACATTACTTCATTTTACTTTTAAATTATTTTCACTTGCCTTTTTTCATAAATTTCAAAGTAACACATTTACAATCCCAAATGTTATTTCTAAATTATATAGTATGAATTAAATATATAAATGAGATAAGTGGATAGGAAGAATGTGAAGAGTTGAAGAATAAAATGTTCTGATATTGATGGCGCAATTGAACGGAAGAGAAAAGCGCCATTTGCTCATTTCATTCCAATAACTCTTCATTTGCTATTAAAAAAGAAAAAAAAAAAAAACATTGTGAAATTGTTAGCAAGAAAGTTATCCTAACATAAATGTATCATTCAAAAGTTTACCAACGGAAGTTTTTTTTTTTTTTTTCTTTTTTTTTTTGTTTATATAATCTTTTCTTAGAATTATTTGAGTTTTAAAGATGAATTTATAGCAATGTTTGGATGTGAGAGATTTTTGTTATATTCACGAAATATTATGTAAAAGTTTGAGTAATACAGATGAGCAAACATTTTTTTTTTTTTTTTTGAAAATTTCATAGTTTCAATTGAAAAATGAGAAATGATAGGAAGATAGAAAGAGATATTGAAGTTGATATTTTGTTTGTTAAAAAGAGAAAGAAAGAATGAAGCATATGGTTTAAAGCTAGATTTGCTATTGCTTGCAGAGATGAAATTTGGTAAGTTATAATAGAGTAAAATTTAAAACGAAAGTTGTAACTGCTCAGTTTATTCATTCATCGTTCTATATCTATTTTATTTTGCTAATCTATTGTCTCTAACAATTGCGCTCTATTTTATTCATTCTTCTTATCTTATAGTTTGTTTTAGTGATGATTAGAAAGTAATTTTAGAAGTTAAAACAAGCATTGAACACCTGACAATTTCTGTTATCTTCTTAGCTACAAATGTTGCTAATAGATCTGGTGAGGATCAAATATATTGGGATGGATAATGTGCTATTGCTACTACTGCTAACTGTTGCTACTGCACCTATCACTACTACTACTACTACTAACTACTGCTATTACTATAGCTTGAGAGGTTTTTAACAAATAGCTTTAGCTATAGTTACATATAGATATAGTGGTGGTACAGAGATACATTAGCTAACAAGTATTATTAATAGATCTGAAGAGAATCAGATATATTGGGGCGGTAATGTGCTGCTGCTCTGCTACTGCTACTGTTGCTACTGCAGCTGCTACTATTACTACTAACTACTACTATTACTGTTATGAAATATAGCTCGAGAGTTTTTAACAAATAGCTTTAGCTTAGTTTACATATAGATATAGTGGTGGTACAGAGATGCATAACAATAAATCTACCACCAAATTCTATCCTAAACTAATTTCTCTTAGCTAGCTAGTTTAGCTTAAAAGTTTGTATATCATTGGAATTTCTCTATTTCTCCTCCTCATTCTTCTCACTTATCCTATCATCATCATATTATTATCAACAGGCTAACTCTTAACTATATCCATCCTTTTCGTCTACTCATTTCATATTATCCGCTTGTTTATCGTTCTCAAGTTTTGTCATCATTAGCGCTTAATAACAACAACAAGAATGCCTTCACAAGCTGGTAAATTTTCATTCAAAAATTTTTTTTCCTTTTAATTTAAAATTTAAATTTTGGATATTTTGATTAATAATTTCAATAAAATGTGGGTAAAAAGTGATAATTTTATTATAATTGATAATAATAATATAAAAAAAAGAAGAAGCAAAATAACAAAGTAACATTTAATTAGCTTAAAATATCATTTCATTAGCTTCAATCAGTTTGATCACCTGAAAGGATAATGGATGTTTTTGTTTTTCTTCTTTTTT